GTAATAATTTTAAATTCGTGGGAAAGAAACGCGATAAATACGAAGGAAGGACAAGAAGTGTGAATTTTAAAATGTAGTACTAAGCGAGACATTCAGTTTAAGACGTGGAGTAGTCCTAATTGCGGAATGGTTGTTATGAAGAACTTCATGATATGTGTAAATTCTCTGCAAGATTTTTGGTTTTGGCCTTTCGTTCTGTTATTAAATTGTCAGTTACCAGTGTATCGTTATGTTTGATATATAACCCATATTGTGACATCGTGACGGAATAGTTTAACAAAAGCAGCCGTCCTCTGCTAAGTAACGGCCCGATAAACATTTGTAAAATAACTCTTACTCTGATTCGGAATGGCAGATTTTCATGGCAGCGGTCATACAGTGAAGGCATGAGCACAGAAGTGGAAGGATCTCCACGGTTAGCAGCCGTAACCAAGCAACGGCTAGTGAAACCATACCAGGCTGAGACTTAGAATATGCAGTAGTGATTTGTCGAGTGTGCAGATAAGTGAAACTGTAGTTACGAGTTATAAGATTTTAATAAATTCTATTAATAGTCTAAATCCCGTATCTACTTACTGACTCTAGACAATATCACCAAAGGAAGGGCGTATGTGTTAGGAAAAATTTAGGAAACTCGTGTTATTTTGTTAGACGTCACGGCAACTCCGACACACGGGTTTTCTTGGTTTTCCTCTGTCACGCAAATGCTAAGATGATCTACAGGTCTCAAGTTGCAACTGCAATAATGTAGGACTCTAGGTGGGCCCCAGAGCCGGTCTGGACGCCTTGGACAAAAGAGAATCTGTTGTCTCTACCGATAATCGAACCCCAAAAGGTTATCCCTGTACTTGACTAAGTAAGCACTACGCCATAAAGGCGTATAGGAGAGTGGATGTGTAGACCCACGTTTTCTTAACCTTGGCACTTGTTGGAGGTGTTTGGTCATCTTCACGCCCCGGTCGCTTTACCGCCTGGGAAAGAGCCCCCCCCCCACCCGGTACCCAGTGGATAGGATGTTGGGTGTACCCCAGAGCCGGTCTGAACGACATGGAAAAGTGAAAATTCATGACCCCACCGGGACTCGAACTCCGACCCCTCGGTCGTCCAGCCAGTAGCTAGTTTTTGTACTGACTGCGCTATCCCGGCTGACTAAAATATCCACCTAATAGTGACTCGAACCCGCGACCTTGCGGCTTGTGACCCTACCGCTACTAGAAATTCAAGATTCCAGAAACGCGCCTCTGCGTTTTAAGAGGAAATATAAACCGTTGAGTTTGCTTAATAAGCAGTTTTCCTGTGACGTTCTGAAGCATGTGATATTGCTTGTAACATCTGATTAATATGATTATCCTGTAAGAGCCGATATTGCCTTCCTCATTATGTGATGAAATGTACTGAGCAACTTGTCGCTAGTTTTCTTGCCTATCTGCTAGTTTTTAGTTTTTATTCCCTTTTTATTATTTCCGTCCGACAAAAAAAACTGATTTACAGCTGGAAACGAAGTTATCAAGTCTCCTGCTCTATCGCTTCATACCGACAGACCGTTATGCATCTGTCCAGGGTTACTCTTGAAGGACAGAACTTGCTTCCAGCACCGGTTTCTCTCCGACGAAAAAATCCCTTTTTTTAATAATAAAAACGTCATGAAATCAGCTCGGTGTGTTCAGGTACAGACCGGGAACATAGAAAGCATATTTTATGGATGGACTTAAGTTTTGTGAATGAAGTTAACACCGTCGCTGTCGTATTAATTCGCTTTAAAATATTCACTTTAGAATCCGGCGGCCGCGCAAACCTCTCAACACGCATTATAAACTATGCCTAAGAATGTAATCTTGAAAAGGTACTGTAGCTTCAAAAATAAATAGAACCACTTCATAAATTATTCGCTTACTGACTTCTCTGTCAGTGAGCTGCAGGGTAAGACTATGAATTGAATATTGCTGACGCCGAAACGCCATGTTTGAAAGCACCCAACGTCACGCGTGGACTTTTCGTTTGTTTTACGACCCTGCGCGATGCTGACCGCATCACCCGGGCCTCTCCTGCCTCCACCCCCCGCGTGTGACTTAATCTCTTCATTTCGGAGAACAAAAATACCGCCCCACCGCGCATTTATGGACGGAATTCAAGATGGACGTTTTACTGAATTCCTTCAGTTCCGCTCGTAATGTTGTTGTTGCAACTCCCGACCACCGACGAGCTAGCTTGGCTTACTGTCTGTCCATCTATCTACGTGTATCTACCTACTTACGTACCTATCTGGCCATCTATCTATCTAATCTTTCTATATGTTTGTCTATCTACTCTGTCTACCTAATATATCCATTTGTCTGTCCATCCATCTATCTCTGTGTCTGTCTCTGTCCATCCATTTATCTGTCTTCCTACCTACCTACCTATCTATCTGTCCCCCTGTCCATCCATCTGTCTTTCTACCTACCTGCAGCCCTTGTGGATCTTGGTTGCTTTTCCAGTTTCTTAATCATATACACAGTCGGTAGGACTCCTTGGACGGGGGATGAGCCCGTTGCAAGGCCGCTACCTACTCACAAGACAATACAAACACAGAATAAACACACACAGATATCCATGCCCCGAGTGGGATTCGAACCCATTATCCCAGTGTTTCGGCGAGCGAAGACGGTTCATGCCTTAGACCGCGCGGCCGCTCCGGTCGGAATTGCCCTCCGCGTACTGCGTATGAATTTACCTGAGACTGAGTCTGGAACTGCGATTTGAACAGCCTGAACTTCAGCACGCCCGAGTTAACTTCCTCAATTACATAGCCAGACGCTGAGGTGCGCACAGCGCGATGTGTTCTGCGTCTCACTCATCTCTGCGCATGCGTCAAAGCAACGCCCTGTGTTAAAACGAGTTATCGAGTGTAAAATTTCGATCCAAAGTATGCTGAAAACGTAATGTGTTGACTTTCTAATGATTCCGTAATTATTTACATCACAGTCTGATGTTTTGGACAGGGAATTCGTGTTTCTGTTGCCATTCGACCGCCTGCGAATTTGCACATAATGCGTGTACGGGCTTCGCGTGTGTCAGGTGAAGAATGCCCCATTGTTTGAAGTGATTTTCCTAGAGATAACTCAGCCCTAATTTCATGGAATGTGGACTTCACTGACTCGTAACTCTTCTTTTAATTTCAGTCGGTTAACCCTGCCCACATGCCGCACAGAGTAGCTTACGGAATGTTCAAAAGAAACTCTCCTTGCGGTGGGAGCACTTGTCTAGGCTAGCAACTGCGATTTCTGTTACAGTATTGTGTCACGGTTCATACCCAGAAACTGAAACACCTCAGTTTAACTGAGCATGTGTGCCACTGTGGTAACTGTTTGCCGATCACAGTGGCCGCGCGGTCTAAGGCATGAACCGTCTCCGCTCGCTCAAACACTGAGATTGTCGGTTCGAATCCCACTCAAGGCATGATGTTTATGTGCGTTTATTCTGTGTTTGTGTTTATCTGTGTGTAGGTAGCGGCATTGCGACGGGATGATCCCCCGTCCAGGGCGTCCTATCAGCTCTATATAGGGTTAGAAAACTGAAGAAGGGCCATGGCCCAACAAAGGGCTGTAGCGGCATTGCGACGGGATGATCCCCCGTCCAGGGCGTCCTATCGGCTCTATATAGGGTTAGGAAACTGAAGAAGGGCCATGGCCCAACAAAGGGCTGTAGCGGCATTGCGACGGGATGATCCCCCGTCCAGGGCGTCCTATCGGCTCTATATAGGGTTAGGAAACTGAAGAAGGGCCATGGCCCAACAAAGGGCTGTAGAGCCATTGATGAATGAATGAATGGAAACCGAATAGGGGCCAACTTCAATTTGTAAATGGCACGGAGTATAAATTGAGTCACGGGGCACAAAATGAAATCACGAAGGGCAGTAGTGGGGGAAGGGCGCTCTAGGGTGATGTTCCGGTATTTGTTTTTGAGTGATTGGGCTCTGCCCTGGAGTCTTTTTTTATTTATTTTAAAGGAATTGATGTAAATTGTAAATGAAGGTTAGTGAAAATAAAACTTTGTTATGAATCACTTATATGAGACTTGACATTCATACTTTTACCCTGAAGATGGAGGTAGCAGGTTACTGCTAGATGTTAGTATTGTTACCAACATGGCGTCATGTCTTAGTAGATTGTGATTTCAATTCAATGAGGAGCCGGGATAGCTCAGTCGGTATAGCGAGTGGCTACGCGTTACACGACCGAGGGGTCGGAGTTCCAGTCCTGGAAAGGAAAAAATTTTCTCTTCTCCGCGTCGTCCAGACCGGCTCTGTGATCCATCGAACCTCCTGTCCATTGGGTACCGGTGCTCTTTCCCGGGGGCAAAGCGGCCGGGTCGTGAAGCTGACCACTCATCTCCATTTAGAGCCGAGCTCAAGAAAATGTGGATCTATACATCCACTCCCCTATACGCCTTCCTGACGTAGTGCTTAATTACTTAAGCAAAGGGGGACCATGCAACATGAAAATATTAGAAAAAATTCTTAAGTTAAAGTTCTCCCTGGGTTCCACTGATTAAGCACCGCGCCATGAAGACGTACAGAGGACTGGAAGCGTAGCTGGGCGCTAGGCGGAGGTGGGTGGTCAGCTGCGTGTCCATTGGACGGGGGCTCTGGGGCCCCAAAGCCTATGTGAACGCTATGGAGGAACGAAATATCCGTTACCCCTACCGGGCCGTCAAACCCGTCGCTATACCCACTGAGCTATCCCAGTTCCCTGAATTTCAAGACTTCCCGTTGAATTTTCAACGGGTATTGCTCAAGTGTTCATAGAAATGTTTATTTATTTTACAGTCAAAATTCTGGAGTTTCAAGGTCATCATCTGTTGCGGGATCTAACGCCGTGTAGTTTGGAAAGTTCCCGAAGTTTTATTGGAGGCGATATGCTGTTCCTAAACGTCGGCCTAACTACACAGCGTTAGAACCCACAAGACCGAACTGCTCACTAGTTGCTGCGTCTGTAATAGCCTGACATCCTTTGTTGCAGGCTGTTTGGCATGAAGCGTTGTGCCCGATGTCAGGCCGCCATCTTGTTCACCGAGATGGTGATGCGCGCACGTGACCTGGTCTTCCACGTGCAGTGCTTCACATGCGCTGTGTGTAACTCGACCTTCAACAAGGGCGACCAATTCGGGCTGAAGGACAGCACAGTGCTGTGCCAGATACACTACGAGCAGCAGCAACACCAGTCGCCGTCCCCGGTCAACTTCCCTGGTGGCAGCACTTACCCGCCCCCGTTTCCATCCCCCGAGTTCCACCCCCATCATCATCCACCGTCCGCCGCGCCCGCCTGCGCGGACAGTGTGATCAGTACCAAAGTGCCCTACTTCAACGGCTCTGCTACGGGGGCGACACGGCAGAAAGGACGGCCCAGGAAGCGGAAACCGAAAGACTTAGAGGCCATGACTGCAAACCTAGGCAAGTTCTCAGTGTCTTTCTTGTCTTTCCTGACCTCACTTAGCTTCACACTCCGGCCGTTTTACATCCATGAAAACACCCCTCGGTATCTATAGGATAGGAGACTGCGTGGGCCACGCTGTGAATCGAACCCCTATTCCTCGGTCCTCCAAGTCGATTGTCTGTCGACAAATATTTATCTAAAACTCTTTCAAGTTACGTAACATCTTGAGTAGCCAACCTTACAGAAAGAAAGTCCCTGTGTGTTCAACGGTATCTCTGTTGGTTCCCAACATATGCTGAAAGTAGAATCTAGTAAATTTCTGGTGATGACGTAACCATCTACGTCACTGTGTGATGGTGATAAACCCTCAAAATATGTTACACAGAACAGACCGTGTTTTCAGCTGTACAGTCTCTGTGAGAAACTTGGTCTCCGTTAAAACCGCAACCGGAAACCGTTCTTCTTTATTATGTACCTTCTTGCTCCATCTCTGCATATTCACCTCTCGTAAATCTTTCTCTGCATCTTAAAGCCATCTCAGTTTGTGCCTTCTCGCGTTTTTCTACCTTCTGACTTCTTTTTTGGTTTCTTGGGGTGGGGTGAGACTAAGTCCCTTGTACTGCGGCCACTAACTGGTCTATTGTACCAGTCCCAGATGATAAATGATGAGTGTGGAGCGGTTAGCGGAATACAAATTGGCAGGGGAAGCCGAAGTACTAGGAGAAACCTGCCTCAATGCCGCTTTGTCGCCCACAAATTTCACATGACCTGACACGGGGCTCGAACCCGTGGCGCCGCGTGGGAAACCAGCGACTAACTGTCTGAACTGTGGCACGGCGTTACCTTCTGACTTACTTTCAGCACTTTTCTGTGCCGCCCTTGTTTGATCCATTCTCATTACATGCCCCATCCACTTAATTTTTTTTAATATCCGTTGCCAGATCAAGGGCGTTTCTCTAGTTCCCTTGGTTCCTGGTTCGCTCCGATTCCCGGAACCGCTCGCTCACTTCCTGGCCCATGAATTTTCCTCCCCCTCCCCCTTCACAGGTTTGTCGTAACTTTGTTCAGCTCAGTCACTGTCCCTAGCGTACATCGAAACATCGCAACTTGCTTTTACACTTCTGTGGATTTCAGTTTTCGATACCTCCTTTCTACGTTCTTTATTTTCCTTTGCTGATCCTGTATCCTGGAGCCGGGATAGCGCAGTCGGTATAGCGACTGGCTACGGGCTCGACGGCCGAGGGTTTGAAATTCAAGTCCCGGTAGGGTCGAGAATTCTCTCTTCTTCATGTCGTCCAGACCGGCTCTGGGGTCCATCCAACCTCCTATCGAATGTGTACCGGGGGTAAAGCGGCCGGGGCTAGTGCCGAGCACAAGAATACGTGGCCCTATACATCCACTCCCCCATACACCTTCATGGCGTAGTGCTTAATTAGTTAAGCGCAGGGACAACTTCACCTATTATTATTATTATTGTCCCTTTTTATTTCCGTGTTTCGTTTTCTTTATATTGTTTCTGTGCTTTTCTGTCGTACATTTTTTAAATCTCTTTCCGTGTCTTGACTTCTGTTTTCTCTGTTTATTTTCTCCGTTCATACAGGCTTTCTCCGCCGTTTCATTTGTCATGCTTTCTGTTTGTTCCCCCTTTTTTATAATTTTCTCCCTTTTTTCGTCGTGTTGTCTCGTAGCGTGTTTATCTGCCGGTCCAACAAAACGCCTCACGCTCACTGTACTCTTGATCATGCCCATGCACCATTGACACCAACCTTGTTGTGTTGTCACACGCGAACCGCTCAGTGAACACGGAGCCAACAGAAGAACCTGAAGTCATTCAATCATGAGATAAGACCGCCTTAATTTTTTTTTCTCTCCACAATCTCAGCCGTTCTCCATGGGTGTCCAAACCGTTCATAAACCACACGGCTGTTACATGAAGCTGCAGTTCCAGTTACATACCCTTCTCATTGTTAGAACGGATTATTTTTGGCATACAATATGATTCTAAATTATTCTCGGGGTTCCCATGGCCTGTAACCTTCAAACCGAAAAAAAAATTAAAACCGCTTATAGATATGAAAGTGTAACTCAAAGAGTTTTATTTGGCAATCCTGTACTCGCCGCATTGATGTCTGGGAGAAAATATGACGTCATACCACAAAATGGCGACTTTTTGTTTTCCTGTTTGAAAATTACAGGCCATGGAAACCCCGACAATAATATAGAATCACTCTATATTTTGTGGATTATTTTACGAACATATTAGTAGCCCGCATCATAGCATCGATTGATATGGTGATTGGTGAATAATGAATTTGAAAATAATTCCGAAGGAATCGGCTCTGGCTTGGAGGAGCTGAATAAAACTACGAAAAATCTCAGCGAGCGTAGCTGATGCCCAGGTCAAGATGCAACTCAAGCATATCCCGAATACAGCTGCACAGCTGCCCGTTACACCAACACTTCATGTTGCTGGATTAGCTGTTGAATCAGCAGATTACACTCAGCATATATAGGACGAGAAAGTGGGCCTATGGGCCTACAATGTTCATCATCTTCACCTGGGTGTAATAGGCTGGAAATTCAGCCTGCAAGGGTAGGTTGAGAAATGCATGAACTATTATTTGGAAAACCGGGAAAGACAAGATCACTTGAGACGTAGACGAGAAACATGTCTTCATCTTCTAAAGCACTGTGGTCACTATATGTACCACTTGCTTTACCATACCAAAACTCTGCATTCTGCCAACACAGTGTATTTATGTGTTCCCTATGGTTCTCACAACAAACAGCGACTGTTTCCCCAAACAGCATTAACCGGTCGCGCTCTGTAGCGGAGACGTAATGTGTTTCCTGTGAGGCACGGACTGAATTCTTATATATAAAGTCTCTGCATTCTGCCCACACAGTGTATTTGTGTGTTCCATATGGTTCTCACAATAAACAGCGACTGTTTCCCCAAACAGCCCTAACCGGTTTGGCTCTGTAGCGGAGACGTAATGTGTTTCCTGTGAGGTACGAACTGAATTCTTGTATATAAAGCCTCTGCATTCTGCCCACAGAGTGTATTTATGTGTTCCGTATGGTTCTCACAATAAACAGCGGCTGTTTCCCCAAACAGCATTAACCGGTTGGGCTCTGTAGCGGATACGTAAAGTGTTTCCTGTGAGGCACGAACTGAAGTTTAAATGTTGCATAGCTCTCTTTCATGCTTTAAAGAAAGTTTCATGACTCGCGTGTCGTAAGAGTGTACATGAGTCCCACAGGACTCAGAAACATAAATGACTGTGCTGGCGAGGGCGACCAGGAATTTACCTGAACGACCCGACTTTGCTTCAAAGGGACAACAGGACTGGATTCATCTGGCTGAGGATTTGGACCCAGTGGCGGTCTCTCGTTAGCACGGACATAAGCCTAAGTATTACGAGAAACTGTTAATTTGTTGATCATTTGAGTGACTGTCAGTTTCTTTTATGTATGTTATGTTACTTGGCTGATAATGTTAGTAGAGATAATAATGAATTAAAATATAATTACCCGCACGACCCGCGTTGTAGACCACGGATACAAATTTTGATCGAAATCCACTCAATCATTTTGGAAAATAAAGCTTCAAATGGACAGAGACTTGCCCGGAAGTAAGTTTTCAGTCTCTGAGGTTCGTGCATATAAAGGCACAATAGATACTTCTGACATGAGAGAGTGAGAGGAAACAGAGTCACTCTCCATTGGAGGGGGGATCGATCCCTCACCTCGCTGAAAAGTGGGCCCCATTTCAAAACACGTAAACATCTGGAAAGAACAAAAATATGATCATGGATTCCGATAGTGCCTTAACCAAGATGGCTGATGGCGAAGGCCATCAGAAAATTACTATTCTGTGTAGACTGGAATTTTGTCTGTATCTTGGAGTTTCCTGCAGAAAAAAAAGTGCGGAATTGATTCTTAGACTGGCAGTGGATCTGTGTTTACTGGCAAATACACCCGGTACAGTGGATGTACCTGGTGTCGTGTGACCGATGGAACATGACGAATGGGATGGAAACAGCATGACGGCCCACCGGAGCGTGGCGTGGGAGTTGCGAGACACGCGCAAGATGAGACGTACCGCAGGGTTGTCAAACCCTGACTCCTGGGGGCCAGGCACCCAGGCAGCAGAACTGAGCTTGTTTGGGTGCCAACTTACGCAGTACACTGTGAAAGAGACAGAGGTCCTTGAGGTATAGATACGTACATGAAGACGTATGGGGAAGTAGAGGTATTGCTGTTAATTCTGTGAATTTTTCACTGATATTTCAGTAGGTTACACTGTACATCGCTGAACAGTTCTGTCTTCTGGGATGTAAAGCCTTGTCCGGTGGAAGTTCGCCGACGTTTCGGAGCAACCTGCTGCTTCCAGCTTTAGGTTTCAGGAGTAAGTGAAGCAAGGGACAGACAGATGGTTAGTGAATGATGAATGGGGGCGTTTTTAGAAGGCTCGTGTCGTGGCTGAATCGAGATAAGATCCGGTCGTTTGCCTTCAAGGACCGAAGAAAACCGCGGAAGGCTACTGTCAGGCCGGGCGTTACCGCTTGAGCCAAATTTCACCTTTCCGCTCATTCTTAATCTTGTCGCGAGATGGAAGTGAGAGATTTACTTCACGCCTCGGCCGCTTTGTCCCCGGGTACCCCTCTAGGAGGCTGTGACGTCTTTTTTCTCTTTAGAAGTTCATCGACGTTTCGAGGAATATACTGCTTCCATCAACATGACCGAAGACTAAAACAAGCAGTCAGCAAACGGAACTATTCTACCATAATTATCATGCTATTATTATTATTATTATTATTATTATTATTATTCATGGAGTCAACTTCTTGAGAAAAATGTACTGAAATTTGAAAAATATTTTAATAATTAATTGTCACAGGGTAAAGACGTGTGGGGGGAGTGGCTTCTAACTCCACACATACCAACCCCCAACACTAGAGGGAAGAAAGTGATTCATTCTACGCTTCGACCCCCAATCCTGGGGAAAAGAACG